CATTCGTTTATCACTGAACACTACCAGGGACAAAACTTCCGCTTTGACATGAACGTACATATTTGTTTAAGTTTTGATTTAAAAACACTTGTTTTGGCTGAACGTTCCAGCATTTAACGTTAATCATCTCAGAGAGATTATTGCATAATAGGATCGTCAACGAGAGGATCTAATCCTCTATTTAATCATCTTAAAAAAGCTCAAACGTAACTGATGATACGTACGCGTGTTATAATTCAAAATGTATTTGAGAAAAATAAACGAAACATTTCGGGACGTATTATTCATCAATTTTACGAAAATGTTGATACACGTGTATTGCTTATATCATGGTCTTACCGTTTGACTTGCATACATCAAATCAACCTGCCATCCTTGGTTTTGGTTCTCCCTCGTTATGTATAAACCATCAGATTTCCATCAGTCCTGACATGACTGTAGTTTGAGTGACTGCTATGGGCATGAATGTACTGGATCCCATCATCGTGCCACATTCTGTTAACTATCCTCTTGCACGTCGTCCGTGATTCGTGGATGACTCGAATCAGCAAATGGTTCAAAATGTCCACGCTGCCAGATTATTAATGGTACAAAAGCGAGTAAAATCCATGACTTGGTGTGATATATTCCATAAAAGTGCGTATGTCATCGCATGGTGTTTTCCAACTGGAGCAAAGACGTCGTAAATATTAGTAAACTATAGTTAGCCGAGGTTCGATACACCCGGAAATTAATAACTAAAATTAGATACGCATGGACCCAACATTTACTTCGGGTACACCCACAGATTGACAACTCAGAGTACGACACACCCCTGTTTCATGGTAATTAAATAATTGATTTTCTGTTGCTGCGACCTAATCGTTCACCCATAACACTGCATATATATTTTCCTGCCCACTGTTTTATACTGTCAAGCACCAAGTAGGGTAACGACAAGGGTTTTCCCTTGTTAAAGACCCATCCGGAATCGAACCACGACCGTCGTTTGTCTAGGCAAGCGTTCAGTCCACTACTACAATGACTCGAGTCAAGAAACTAATGACTTCCGTGTGTATGGTGCTGTGTCCTCGCAACGAAACAATGAGGGCAATCAAACGCCCTTCATGATCTGATTCATGTCACCCAGACAAAAGCAGTGCCTAATATTGTAACAAATCGGGTCCCCACTAAGTGCATGAGATCAGATGAGTACCTCAATTTAAAACATGAAATAATTTGGAAAATATCTTTGTTGGTTGTTTTGATGTTTAACGCCGCACTCAGCAAAGTGGAAAGCCTCTATTAGACTAATTTTGGAGGAAGTCAGTGAGACGAGTTTACCTTGTGTCCAGCACGTCTTCTACGTATAGGAGCGGTATCCTCTTCTAGATGGAGATACACCTTTGTTCTTGAATTGACTTTAACAAACATCATTGGTGTAACTGTTGATAAACAAAATCTTTGAATGGCATTTAGAAGTGAAGGGGAAAATTTTATGAATATCATGTTCTATCATTTACATCACACCTGACCAAATTACAGTCAGTAAAGCCACGTGAAGCTAACCTGCACAACATTCCCCCTATCATTGCCAATCAAGTTCAAAATAATAATGTCGTTTCAATTGTGTCATGTTATATACAGTCAATAGCCAATTCCCCAGCAGAATTTAATGTTTCAACATGACCGAACGATATTTAGGACAAAAATTTTTAATGTTGCTAGCTGGCCAGGGTTATATATACTAGCCACATAAAGAAACTGTGCATTGTTCAAAATATTATCCCAGTTGATAAGTACGATAACAATGTCAAAGGTACATATAAACTTTAATGGAGGGATCATGAAACCATAACAAGTCGGGAGAACTTCAATTGAAAAGTCAATCACAATGACGTCACGAGTCCACAAGCGGGACAGGGGTCAAACGACCATGTCACAAGCTCAATAAAAGGGTATGTCCACCATCGGCATTGAGAACAGCAGTGCATCGACGATGCATAGATCCTATCAAACGTGCAAGGAAGGCTTGTGGGATGTCACGCCAGATTCTCTCAAGTTCTGTTGCAAGGTCAAGGACGTTATCTGGCGGATGAGGAAGACGGCGTAGACGTCGATCCATCTCGCCCCAAACATGCTCTATCGGGAACGATCCGGTGAATATTCAGGCCAAGGCAGTAAGTCAACGTTGTGGTGTTGCATAAAGAAATCCCTATATTGGTTACACCGTCTTGGGTTGTCAGTCCAGATTTGAAGAGGTCATCATGCGACGATGTCGTATTGGCCACACAAGATATACTCATGTATATGTATTGAAAGGCGAAGATCCTCCGTTTTGAACCCCTTAAATGAGAGAGTCACTGTCAAGCATTTCCTGCTTGACTGTGGTGAATTCTCCATCATAAGTGATAAATATTTCAATATCAAAACAGTAAAGGACCTTTGTAATAATGTTAATTATCATTTAATCATTGGTTTTTTAAAAGAAATAGATTTGTTAAATGAAATTTGATATTCGTTTTGTAAATAGATAAGGTTTTATAATTGGTAGTTTAGATGATCAATTTTGATTGTTAGTGGCTGTATCCTCAGAGGGGGTTGAAGTATCGTAAAATTATTGTCCTCCTAAGAGGGTACGTAAGTCCCAAAAGTTTCAAAGTCAATTTCAACTTACCAGGATTTTTAAACCTAGTATGCTTGTTATTTTAATTTTGGCTAACATTTCTTACAATCGCCAACAGCTGAAGGGATGGTGTAAATCCAGCTAGGGTCCATGCAGGGAACAAAGGTACTGTAAGTCCCAATGGTCCCTAATACGGTGATCTACCTTCTGGTGTTGGCGATCTATAGCCTGTTTTTATATTGTATTGTCCAAATAGTGCTATTAGTTTTAACACTCCACACTAGTTTTAGTTGTAATTGTGATATTCTAGTTGTTTTACTGTCCTTCGTCGACAGGTTTTTATAACGTACATATATACCATTTCAATGTCAAATGTTCTCATTTCACTTTTTGTTGTATGGCTGAAATATTGCCGATGTGACGTTAAATAATAACTCACTCACTCAGTCTGACAAGCAGTAGAGGACATTGCTTCAGTGCGGGTGACTGCAGCGGAATACGTAACATTCAGAGAAGTTGAGGACTGACTAATGACGATTTTTTTCACATCAAGATAAGAAATGTTCTTTTCACACTTTATTTTCGTGATTTTTGCTTCCCTCTGATACACAGGGCAGGACTTGGACGAAGCAGAATGCGGACCGTCACAGTTTGCACATTTGTAGTCTCTGTCACAGTCGGTACCCTCATGGCGGTCTCCACAGAGATGACACACTGCAGAGTTTCGACATGAGTGTGACCAGTGACCGAAATGTTGACACTTATAACACCGGAGTGGAGTTGGGACATACACATCCACCCCGGTGTTAAAATATCCTGCCTTGATCGACTGTGGGAGTGAAAAAGTCAAGAGATGCGTGTTTGTCTTTGTTACAATGCCCTCTTTCTTGATTGTGAAACGTTTCACGGCCGTAACACCTTGGTCTACAAGCTCTTCAGCAATGTCCTCTTCACTCATTTCATACAGACAGCGGGCCCTGTCACGTATGATACCACGACAAGTATTTAGAGTTCTGTGCACAGACACAGCAACCATCAACATTTGCAAATGTTTTAATTGATAACAAATTGAGAGATTGCTGTCTCCGTGCACATTCCACCAGTTAACCAGTACGGAGACGAGTAACATTTCTAAATTCGCCACAAATACCCGAGATCGCTTTCGAAATAGCAAATAGGTTTAGCTTAATCGGAAAAAAATCCGTAGCTTCAATAACCAGGAAACGAGCCCATGATTCGACGTTTGCAGAATTTTCAATAGAGTGATCTTTTTCACTTAGACGCCTATTTTTATCATTTCTAGATGAACCAGCTTGCGTTTGAGACATGGTGAAAGGAAAGTGATTCAGCACCCCTGCTCCTCACCCACCACGGACTGTCAACAAGGACAGTATCAGATAGCACCGGGTATCCAAGATGCTGACACCAGGGATACAGGGCACCATATACTCCAGAGTAAACGACACAAACGGCTGCATTTATCTACCAATTTAATGACCGGCTGGCTCGGCCCATGACAAGAAACCGAAGACATACATCATTTGGAGGTCATTATCACCAGATTGGCCCATGAGCCACCGCCTTGTGGCATAGGACTCTAGGTAATTAAATGTAATAATTATTTGTATACTGATAATCAAAATAACCAAAGCCCAATGATAATTTTAAGTGCAAATATAATCACCATGCACAGGGCTTGGCGTGAGCAGCCGATTGATAGAACCGGGCCAGTTCTACCACCCGTCTAGGTGAAGTAAGGGCCAAAGTGGTGTGTTGGGCAAAAGGAACACGGTTCAAGGCTCCCAGTGCCCTCAACCACCAGACACCCGTCCTCCACCGACACAGCGGCGCAACCCACGGCAAACGGGTTGGTGGACTAAATGTTCCCCCGGGTCCACACGGGGGGTTGAAAAGCGCTTAGGGTTACCCAGCACCCACCACAAGGAGGTGGCTCATCACGGGTGCCTCTACTTCTGAGAACTTAATAAAAGACAGAAAACGTAAATCTCTTGTCGCCTTTATTGTCTTCAGGTTAGCAATTATCATAACAATACAGAATCTAACAACAATTCAGACATATCTCATCAAGTTAATTGACAAATGAACACTAATTTCCATGACACTAATTGATATCCATTGAACTTATTCATCGGCAAATTATGTAACAATAGCGGAAGTGTTGACACTACACATTACCCCAATACAGGTCACTTCCTCATTACAGGTATCTCAAGTCACACGTAATTATGACTGGTTACAATTAGTAGTCATTGTTTAAAGTCACTCAAGCACATCAGCCATACCGGTTAGGATTGTATGTGTTAATATAATATATAGCCTTCATATGCTTCATATGGCTGATATGCTGCCGATGTGACTTCACATTATCATTCATTCACTCATGCAATGACTGGGAGGCTTGTAACAGTAACTTTGTTATTGATAAGTAACCATTTTCCCTCGCTATCGCGGCTGCATTCAATCCCTGACTATTCTTTGTGGTTATATCTACAATGCTCTGTGACAGCAGATATTTCACAATGTCCTGATCTCCTACTGCACAGGCCACGTGAAGGACGTTGTCACCATCGATATTTACTACTGAAGGATCCGCTCCGCTCTCTAGTAGCAATTCAAACACATCCCATGTACTGTATTCTGCTGCTAACAGCAGTGGTGTCATCCCGCTAGATCCTTTACAGTTTATGTCCACAATATGTAGCCCGAGGACATGCTTCACTATCTCCGCATTTTCCCCAAAACAGGCCAAATGAAGGATGTTGTCACCATCCTCGTCAACTACTGACAGATCAGCTCCTTTTTTCACAAGTATGTCAAATACTTCTCTTTTCCCATGATATGCTGCCAGCATCACTGGAGTCATTTCTTCATCATCTTTACTATTTATATCCACAATGTTTTGCATCAGGATGTAATTCACTATCTTAACATTTCCTCCTCGACAGGCCACATGAAGGATGTTGTCACCATCCTTGTCAACTACTGACAGATCAGCTCCTTTTATCACAAGAATGTCAAATACTTCTCTTTTCCCATGATATGCAGCATCACTGGAGTCCACTGGAGTCATTTCTTCATCATATTTACTATTTATATCCACAATGTTTTGCATCAGGATGTAATTCACTATCTTAACATTTCCTCCTCGACAGGCCACATGAAGGATGTTGTCACCATCCCTGTCAACTACTGACAGATCAGCTCCTTTTATCACAAGTATGTCAAATACTTCTCTTTTCCCATGAAATGCTGCCAGCATCACTGGTGTCATTTCTTTATCATCTATACTATTTATATCCACAATGTTTTGCATCAGGATGTAATTCACTATCTTAACATTTCCTCCTCGACAGGCCACATGAAGGATGTTGTCACCATCCTCGTCAACTACTGACAGATCAGCTCCTTGTTTCACAAGAATGCCAAATACTTCTCTTTTCCCATGATATGCTGCCAGCATCACTGGAGTCATTTCTTCATCATCTTTACTATTTATATCCACAATGTTTTGCATCAGGATGTAATTCACTATCTTAACATTTCCTCCTCGACAGGCCACATGAAGGATGTTGTCACCATCCTTGTCAACTACTGACAGATCAGCTCCTTTTATCACAAGTATGTCAAATACTTCTCTTTTCCCATGAGATGCTGCCAGCATCACTGGAGTCATTTCTTCATCATCTTTACTATTTATATCCACAATGTTTTGCATCAGGATGTAATTCACTATCTTAACATTTCCTCCTCGACAGGCCACATGAAGGATGTTGTCACCATCCTCGTCAACTACTGACAGATCAGCTCCTTGTTTCACAAGAATGTCAAATACTTCTCTTTTCCCATGATATGCTGCAAGCATCACTGGAGTCATTTCTTCATCATCTTTACTATTTATATCCACGATGCTTTGATTCAGGACATACTTCACTGTATCCACTTGTCCTCCAGTGCAGGAATGATGGAGACTGTTTCTACTTTCATGATCGACTGCTAAAGTATTAGCACCCTGTTCTATTAATAACCCAAGCACTTCTCTTTTGCCATGGTATGCTGCTAACAACAATGGTGTCATCTCATTTCTATCGTTGCTGTTAATGTCGACAATGTTTTGTGTCAGGATACCATTTACTATCTTCACGTTTCCTCCTCGACAGGCCCAATGAAGGATAGTTCTATCTGTATCATCCCTTGCTGAGGTATCAGCTCCTCTCTCTATCAGCAAGTGAAACACAACTTGGTTCCCATAACCTGCTGCCAACATCAAAGGTGTAATGTCATTGTTATCTGTACTGTTTATGTACACAACTTTACGCGTGAGGACATGTTTCACTATATCTACATTTCCCCCTTTGCAGGATACATGGAGGGTATTTTCACCATCATCATCCTCTTGTGACATATCAGCTCCTGTTTCCAAAAGGAAACGGAACACTTCCTTCTTCCCAAACAGTGCTGCTGACATCAATGGCGTTGTCCCGTTCCCTCCCCTACTGTCAATGTCAATGATGTTCTGTGAGTGGATGTACTTCACTATCTCCAAGTTTCCCTCCATACAGGCAACGTGTAAGATATTGTTATCCTCACCATCCAGTAGGGACAAATTTGCACCTTTCTCCACAAGTAGTTCCAGTAATGCTCTGTTTCCTGCCCCTGCCGCTATCATTGCTGGTGTCCTATCAGATTGGCCTCTTGAATTGATGTTTGCAGGATCTTGACACAATATGTATTTAACTTGTTGCAAGTCTCCCAGCCAGCAGGCGTCAATAAGAGTAGTGTTGGCAAAAGCCTGGTTATGTGCTTGATGATGTACATCTGAAAGAAAGAATAGAAGCATGACACAATTTTCAGTTTTAGACTTTTAACATGTTAACCAATTATGCCCCAAGGTGCAAAACATATACAAAATCTTTTGACATTTATTGCTGAGCCGCTTGAGAAATTGTGGTATGCAAGGTTGCAGTAGCTGTTTGAGAGTTATTCCACTTGAGTCGATGTCGGGAGCTTTCGCCTTGTGTGAAAACAACACGAAACAAACAAAATAGTGGTTGGTTAGAGACTTTAGGTAAAGTGTTAAATTTTGGAAACTTTCCAAAATGTTTATGTTTTATGTTTATGTTTTTGTTTATACTTAAACAGAGGGATTAGCATGAATTCGGATGCCACTTTTCCGTAGAAAATATACCCAATGAAACCTAAGGGACGTTCGTCCCCTTGCACCCTATCAGTGTGCCTGGACATGTTTTGCAGTTTGTTAAATAAGGATACAAATACATTGAAAACAACACTCAAATGCATTCATAATATCTAAATCGAAAATGTATTTGAAAATAAGCAATATTTAAAAAAGGGTTAATCTTTCTAACAACAAATCATGGTAAGTACCTTTGACACAGACAGTCTTTCCACCATGAGTCTCCAGGCATCTCATCCATCGACACGTGTCCAATGTACAAATACAAGCCTTGACCTGTAGGGAGATGTCAGTTGCCACGAGTGACATGGCACGATGTGAGTTAGTGAATTAAGATTTGTAGTCACATCGGCATTATTTCCAGCATATTGTGAATTAAAAAGTTATAAATTAACGATAAACGCAATTAAAATTATAAAATAGAACCTGACGACAAAGGAAACTAACAAGTCGATCGCAGTTAGATAATTGAAATTAACACAAATAGTACAGACAATTCATTATAAAACGGGCTTGATATCACCAGAAACTGAGGGTAGATCACCATGCTAGGGATTTGAGCACTTTAGCACAATTTAGCCATAACTTAAAATATTCACCACACCACCCCACCCCGGAGGACAATCAACTAACAATGCTTCAACCCCTTGTGAGGATACAGCCACTCACAATCTCAGTTGCTCAATTAAACTGCCAATGAAAATATATTGATCTATTTACAAATCATGTATGTAACAATTCTATTTCCTTTAAATATATAATACTTATGTGATAAATAACGTTAAAAAGATCCTTAGCTGTTTTGACATTGAAACATCGATTCCTTGTAATGGAAAAATCAATACATTCAAGCAGGGCATGCTTAACTGATTCTTTTATCTCAAGGGGTACAAAAAAGGAGGATCTTCACCTTTTAAGATATATTCGTGAGTGGATTTTGAGTGGCCATTGCGACATCGTCGCATAATGACCTCTCTAATCTGCACTGAGTGCGCGAGTGAGTTTAGTTTTACGCTGGACTCATCAATATTCCAGCTATATGGCGGCGGTCTGTAAATAATCGAGTCTGGACCAGACAATCCAGTGATCAACAGCATGAGCATCGATCTGGTCAATTGGGAACGAATGACATGAGTCAACCAAGTCAGCGAGCCTGACCACCCTATCCCGTTAGTCGCCTCTTTCGACAAACATGGTTTACTGAAGATCAATATAATAACCCGGACCTCCACGGGAGTAAATCTGCAATGTGGACATCCACTTCTAGTGGAAATTATTGAATTGTATAATGATCTTGCTACTGGCCAATGCGACATAGTCTTTTGTTGGTTACCCAGCCATGTTGGCATTTCTGGGAACACAATGGCCGATCTTGCTGCTAAGGCAGCACTCAACAAGTCTGTGACACCCCTTCTTATTCCATATTCTAATTAGGCACCCATGAAGAACCACCTCCTTGAGCTAAGCGCTCTTCAACCTCCCGTGTGGACCCGGGGGCACATTTGGTCCACTAACCTGTTTGCCGTGGGTTGCGCCCCTGTGTCGGTGGAGGACGGGTGTCTGGCGGTTGAGGGCACTGGTTCCAGAAACAGGGTTCCTTTTGCCCAACACACCACTTCGCCCCAGACTTCACCTAGACGGGTGGTCACACCAAGCCCTGTGCATGGTGATTATATTTGCACATTCAAACTATCATTTGGTCTTGGGTATTTTAATGTATTGTGTAAAACAATATTGATCATATTAAGTTGCCTAGATTCCTATGCCAGAAGGCGGTGGCTCATGGGCCAATCTGGTGATGTTAACCGCTGAATTCTATATGTCTTTAGGCACCCGTGAAGAACCACCTCCTCGTGGTGGGTGCTGGGTAACGCTAAGCGCTCTTCGACCCTCCGTTGTGGACCCGGGGGTATATTTGCTCCACCAACCTGTTTGCCGTGGGTTGCGCCCCTGTGTCGGTGGAGGAAGGGATTCTGGTGGTTGAGGGCACTGGTTCCAAGAACAGTGTTCCTTTGCCCAACACACCACTTTGGCCCTAACTTCACCTAGACGGGTGGTTGAATAGGCCCGGTTCAACAAATCGGCTGATCACGCCAAGCCCTGAGCACACATTATGTAATGTTGTACACAATTTTGAAAATTGTAGCCTACTATTTTTAAGTCTTGGCAAATTTTTAGAACTTTAGAATTTCAAATACACACTTTCATGTTTTTGCCTAGAGTCGTATGCCCAGAAGGCGGTGGCTCATGGGCCAATCAGGTGGAATATTTACTTTCGTATTATTCTGCTCGCGTATATCATCCGGGTATCCTTGGTGCTGCAGGCTGGAAACCTGCCTGTTTTTGGCATTGTCCTTGTGATACTCCGTGGAGGGTGGGGAGCTCGGATGACGAACCATTCAACAATAACTATGGCTTACGAAACCCCCATTACAAAAAAAGAAACGTCCACTGGACACTGATCCTGATGTTAACGACCAAAGACTGCCCACATCCATTGACTACTGGTCGCGTTTCATTGTGATTGAGACCGTTGACAAAACACCTTTAAAGCTGAACCCTTTTGCTGTATCAAAAGGCATACAAGGCATTGCAGGAGATGTTAAAAACATTAAACGTTTCCGGACAGGTGCACTTCTAGTTGAATGTAGTAGAAAGCAACAGGTTACCAACCTCCTGTCAACTGACTCATTTGTCGGTATTCCCGTATCAGTCTCTGCCCACCGAATGCTTAACACCAGCAAGGGCATAGTAAGAGACCGGGATAGACTTTTTACTGACATGCTGGAAATAGATATTGTTTCCAAGATGAAAGAACAAGGTGTTATATATGTTAAACGCTTCACAACCCGGAAAAATAATGAAACCCATCTAACCAACACGTATCTGTTCTCTTTCTCTACTCCAACTGCTCCAAAGTCAATAAAGGCTGGTTACTGTCACATCAAAGTGGATACATACATACCAAATCCACTGAGATGCTTCAAGTGCCAGAAGTATGGTCATGGTGTCAATACCTGCACATTGTCTGTTGTGTGCTCACTGTGGTGAGAAAACACACACAACAGAAAAGATTGTGACAGTGCCCACCAAAATGCACCAATTGTTCGGGAGACCATCCTCTTTTCTCTAAAGAGTGTCCGATTTGGAGACATCAGATGGAAATAAACAGGATCAAATTTACTCAGAATATTAGTTTTGCCGAAGCGAAACAACTTGTACAAAGATGCGACCAACAAGTGACATACTAGTATGCTTCAAAAACCAGAAAACCATCTGAGGCAACTCCTAAAATACCTAAATCATCTTCCAGCTGCCAAACAAATTTGACTTGGGTAAAAACCGATTCTCCTCAGATTTTTTCAAGTGCAATATCGACTCAAACAGCGGAGCCACTTTTTGGCATGTCTCAAACTCAATCAGAGCAAGCTCCTGATCCTGAATCCTGATCCTCAGTCAACCACAAAGTCTCAATCGCTATCTAATGTCCATCAAATTACTAAAGGCAAGAATAAACCTAAGCCTGATTATTAAAAAAAACAAAGTTGCAGAGCCCCAAAAGGGTCTGAAAATAAAATTAAACTTTACAACAAATATGGATCACTTGAGGACATGGACGTGTCCGAAAACATCCAATATAGGGCACACAGCTTGTCGCCCTCCAAAACAGTGTGGGGTAGATCCCCAATAAATCCGCCGAAAAGATAGTTTATTCCAATAATATTGTACAGTGGAATTGCAGAGGACTAAGGCATAATTATAATGAATTACTGTTATTAGTCCAGGATTGTATGCCGTCAGCATTCTGTTTGCAGGAGACTTATTTAAAGCAGGCAGATCCTTTTGACCTACGTCATTTCAATGCTTATCATTATTTCTCACCTCCGGGTGACAGGGCCACTGGAGGTTCTTCAATCCTAGTCAAACAGAATGTTATCCATAGCCCTATTACACTCACTTCTAATCTTCAAGCAGTTGCAGTGCGACTCACTTTTACACGTTGCATTTACATTATGCTCTTTGTATATCTCACCATCTTCAGTCATTCAGAAGACTGATCTTCAAACTATATATAAGCAACTGCCAAAACCCTGTATTATTATGGGGGACTTAAATGGTCACAACCCACTTTGGGGTGGTACAACTACTAATGCTAAAGGTGAACTGTTAGAAGAGTTCTGTTCAGATAATGATTTATGCATATAAAATGACGGTTCCAACACCTATTTACATCTTGGCACTGGAACTTATTCGGCGCTTGATTTATCAATCACGGATTCAAACCTACTGAATGAATTTGAATGGTCAGTTCACGATGACCTCTGTGGAAGTGACCATTTTCCTACTATACTAAAACCTGTAAACCCATCTGATATTACACCATATTCAACATGGAACTTTAAAAAAGGCTAACTGGCCTTTGTATCAAGCTCTGTGTTGTAGCAGACTTAAACCTGAACTCTTTATAGAAT